TGTGCCCCGACGTCCCCCCTTCCCTGCCTTGCACCCTGTGTCCTATACACATCTAGATGTGTATAAGAGACAGCACACACACACATTTAAACAGTGCAATGGAACAGTCTCGCACAGTTCTGCTGTCTGTTTTGTGTGTAGCGAACATGACAGCATACGCGCACACACACACACACACACACACACACACAGAGAAGGGGGGGTTCAAGCTGTACCAATGGGCACTGCACACGCACTCGCGCGCACACACACACACACACACACACACACACACACACACACACACAGAAGGGGGGGGGGGGCAGACCAACTGGTAGACCAACACGGAGGCTGGAGACAAACACAGGAGATAGTGAGGCACAATATTTATGATTTCATGACACAGAACCCTGCCTCCATTCACCCTTGCTTTCCTGCTCCGCTTTTTTAACACCTGATGAATTGGAGGAGGCTTCAGAATCTTCATTTTTTTTTTTCACAGCAGTAGCAACCAAGCAGGAACCAATGGAGAGTTGACTTGTTCATCGTTTCTAAAGCTAAGCATGTGCCGCCTTGCTTTTTGTAGTTTTCCAACCTACACGTTTCTCGTGACTCGTCAGATGCCTAGAATGGAACGGTTCAGTCACTCCCTTGAGGTATTCCCCCTCCTCACAATGTTCTTTGAATGGAAATTTTGGACGGGTGCCCCATTCCCAACGGCCACCCTGCAAGACTAATGTGGTAGATGGACAGATCAACCAAGTTCATTCCACAAACTCCTCGCTCCTTGACTGCCCCCAAAACCGACGAAGACAGACGGGAAGAGCTATAGCATTAGCAGTAGACCAACTCGGTGTGGCACCAAACACAACTACGTCGGGGCCATAGCATTACACGAAATTGGGGCAGCACCAAGCACAACCAGGTTGAAAATGTAGATAGCATCACACAACATAAGCACACCACCTGAGTCCAAAGGAGAATTGCATGTTCGAAAAGCGATGCAGTACAACGCAGCACTTACCTTTGCCCGTGCTTGTGCTGCTTCAAGCTCCCCAACCTTCGACTGAAGTGCCCCTTTCTCCCGGTTAAGGCGTGTGATATCAGCCTGCCTGTCCACCCTCATCCGATTGAGTTCCTCCTCGGTTGCACGTAGCTGCTGCCAAAGAGCAGACCGGTCGGAATGAGCAACTTCAGCTGTTTCGCGCATCATGCTGAGGACTGGCCGCGCCGTCCCCTCCTCCTCCCTCACAAGGAAGGTCAGAATGTCCATCCCCAATTCCACTTCCGACGGCCCACTCGAACTGCTTGTTGCCCTCTCAACCAGTCCACGGAGCATCCTCTCCCGACATCCCTCATCGCCATACACTTTGAACATAACAGCATATAAGGTGCTGACGAATTCTCTCACTCTAACATCTTGCGATGCAGCAAGAGCTTCAGCGAGGCCAAGAACGACGGGGAAGTCGTCGTCTTCTTCGCTGCCAGACGAGACGATTGGAACGCTGTTGTCCATCACCCCAACAGGCAAGCCAATGCTCACTCCTACACCAAGTCCCATGCCGCCGCCAGCAGTTGTTCCACCAACTCTTGGGTCCATTATCAGTCTTTGGGACTGTCTTCTTTCCAGGACCATGACCACCGACTGCTCCCCAAACGCGCCACGAGCAATGGCCCGTTCAAAGACGCGCTGCGCATCCACCCTCAGCTGAGGAACCGTCAGCATTTCCACTAACATGTCCACATCTGCAACACGCCAGCACACTGCAGCAGCTGCTGCCGCCCGCTCTGCTGCCACCTGCGAAAGCTCGCTCACACTGGCACCGATATCATCTGCTCTGTCGCCAAACACCAGAGGTGCTGTGGTCGCCACAATCTCATCTTCGCTCCGCTCACAGTCTGAATCTATATCTTGCAGGAGAGCTTCAGCGACATCCAGCCGTGTGCAAACCAGCATCCTTACCATTTCCAAAACACGTGGGGATACTGCCGGGCCTTGCTTTTTCAATTTTTCCCGAACAGCTCTTGCCTGCATGAAAGCAAATTGACATGTTGGTCTTTGGATACTCACATACTCGTCCAACTCAACATCAACGGACAACACGAGTTGAAAAGAAAAAAAGAAAAAAAAAAATTCCGCACAACTTTGACAGTTGCACTGAAAATCAAGCAACGCATGCCAACCGTTTTGACCAGAAAATCCGCACATCTTGGTAATAAGTACTAGTAACCCACATTCGGTTTTCCATTTTGAAATCGACATAAAAGTACAACTTGTTTGAACTCATTTCACTGAAACATTATCAGTAGAGGGTACTGGACGGAAGAGGATACATGGGGACAGAAGCTCATAATGTGCTGCGCCTGCAGGACTCGGGTCTATCCTCCGTTGCATCCCACTTCACGCTTCTCTTTATCGGTGTCCATGTAATTCTTGAAAAAACAAACGACGAGTTTCTAAAGCAGGCCCTGGCTTTGATTCCGCTAGACAAGTGGGACCTGCTGTGTGCCATCGAGTGCAGGGCATCAAAAAAGTAGAGTGACAACAGGCCTCTGACTGCAGGCAGCCAAGGCTTACGTTGCGCTGATCAACAGCGCGCCCCACTGCTTCCGTCCAGACTTCACTAGATGCTCACAGGATGTTCAATTCCCAGTGACCTAGGTGTGTCTCCCCACAACAGAGAATACACCACCTTTGGCTCCTCGTGATTAAAACTCATTAAATCAGACAGACTTGAAAGCCCCTTCCCGACTCCCTTGGCTGCTTAACATCACTATGCAGTGGCAATTATTTCCCATACCACCACCACTTCATCCACCAGCTACCTTGACTTCCTGTTGTATGCATCCCAGGGAGCAGTTCTGGGAAGCAGAGGAAAACTGAACAGCCACGCCTCCCTCAATCTCTGCCATGATGACAAGGAGAACAAACTCCTGCAGCTTGTAGAATATCAATTCAAATGCTGCTACACTCTTTACCCAAACAGATTGCCCGTTCATTATCACTCTACCTAGACTCAAAGTTGCCCCAAATACAGCTATAACGACCAACCATTTCAATCGGTTGAAGAAGGTAGTTACAAAGTCTCCCACCAAAAAACTGCCTCCCTCAATCTCTGTCATGATGACGAGGAGAACAAACTCCAGCAGCTTGTAGAATATCAATTCCAACGCTACTACCGTCTTCACCCAAAAAGAACACCCGTTCATTAAACTCAACGTTGCCCCTAATAAATCTATCATGACCGACCGTTGTAATTGGTTGAAGAAGGTAGTTATGAAGACCCCCACTAAACTGATACCAGAGGGCATAAGAACATGCTTTTCCATAAGCCTGCAATCAGCCCTGAACACTGGATTTCGCCACGACCATGCACGATGACAGCAAACATCCATCTACAGAATATCCTTCTTGCCACAGTCTTGAATCCAACTGCCAGATCAGTATGCCAAATACCACATAGACCGGTCGCACATTAGGTGCCAAACACAGGATTTTGCAATGACTATGCAATGGCAGCAAACATAAATCTACAGAACAAGCTTCCTGCCACAGGCATAAATCGAAATGCCTGATCGATATGCCAAACTGCACATACGTCCATTGCACATTAGGTGTCGACGGTCTCCAGAAACTAGACACGGATGCGTGATCAATACGCCAAATAGCACATACACTCATTGCACATTAGGTATTGAAGGTCTCCCAGAAGGAAAGCATCATGTGGGAAGTAACCGTGCAGGCAAGGGGAGCATGCAGATGAGAAGAGAAACGAAATTGGCAGGTGGTTCAAGATGTACACTTCTACAAAGCTAGGCCACAGACAGGACATGCACCTAGACCATCATTTAATAAACATTGCCGGTATCAGCCATAAGACTTCTACCTCCACCTCATGCAGGAAACAAGACTTTCAAAGTGCACTGAGAGATCCCGCTCTCAAAGTGTGCCCAGTGTGCCATTCTCATTCCTGCGCAAGCTGTCTATTTCTAAAGAGTACAAAAAACCTAGGCTGGTCCCTGGGCCGCCCGGCGGCCTGGCCGTCGCCTCGGGGGGGGTGCCGGGCCGCCTGGCCGGTTGTCGCGCCTGGTTGGCCACCGGGCACCCCCAGCGCATGACTGTAGGGTAGGTTTTTTTTTTTTTTTTTTTCCGGCGCCGGGTTTGCCACCTTCATAGACCGTGTGGACCGCGAAAAAAAAAAAAAACGGGGCCGGTAGGCCCGATTTCACCGATTTGAAAGCGGGCCCCATCTGGATCGTCGATCTCAAAGATCGACGGCCCAGATTGCACCCATTTCAAATCGGTGGGGGCGGGAACTACCGGCCCCCGTTCCCTCCCCCATGCTGAAGATGTGCCCCGACATCCCCCCTTCCCTGCCTTGCACCACTGTGTGTCCGCCGGCACGACGCGCAACTTCAACACAATTCTTCGACGCACCCCGCCAGCACCAGCCAACGCCCGCCATCGCACGTGACCTCGCCGTCGCCCCCCAACGGCCGCCTCAACAAGGTGAGGGACTTAGTTTGGGGGAGGGAGAGAGAGAGAGAGAGAGAGAGATCTTCTTCTTCTTCTTCTTCTTCGCCTTCGTTTCTTCTTCTTCTTCTTCTTCTTCTTCTTCTTCGCTTCTACTTCGCTTCTTCTTCTTTTCTTCTTTGCCCCCGTTTCGAGCCCCCCTTCCCGACGTCCTCCACCAGCCGTCTTCTTCTTCTTTTCCCCCTTCGCTGCTTCAACTTCTTCTTCGGCTCCTTCTTCTTCTTCTTCTTCCCCTCCTCCTCCTCCTCCTCCTCCTCCCCCTCCTTCGCTTCTCATCCTCCTCCCCCTCCTTCGCTTCTTCTTCTCCCCCTCCTTCGCTTCTTCTTCTTCCCTTCTTCTTCTTCACTTCTTCTTCTTCTTCTCCCCCTCCTTCCCTTCTACTTCTTCTTCTCCCCCCCCCCCCTTCATAGACCGTGTGGACCGCGAAAAAAAGAAAAACGGGGCCGGTAGGCCCGATTTCACCGATTTGAAAGCAGGCCCCATCTGGATCGTCGATCTCGAAGATCGACGGCCCAGATTGCACCCATTTCAAATTGCTGGGGGCGGGAACTACCGGCCCCCGTTCCCTCCCCCATGCTGAAGATGTGCCCCGACGTCCCCCCTTCCCTGCCTTGCACCACTGTGTGTCCGCCGGCACGACGCGCAACTTCAACGCAATTCTTCGACGCMCCCCGCCAGCACCAGCCAACGCCCGCCATCGCACGTGACCCCGCCGTCGCCCCCCAACGGTCGCCTCAACAAGGTAAGGGACTTAGTTTGGGGGAGGGAGAGAGAGAGAGAGAGAGAGATCTTCTTCTTCTTCTTCACCTTCGCCTTCGCCTTCGTTTCTTCTTCTTCTTCTTCTTCTTCTTCTTCTTCGCTTCTACTTTGCTTCTACTTCGCTTCTTCTTCTTCTTCTTTGCCCCCGTTTCGAGCCCCCCTTCCCGCCGTCCTCCACCAGCCGTCTTCTTCTTCTTCTCCCCCTTCGCTGCTTCAACTTCTTCAGCTCCTTCTTCTTCTTCTTCTTCCCCTCCTCCTCCTCCTCGTCCTCCCCCTCCTTCGTTTCTCCTCCTCCTCCCCCTCCTTCGCTTCTTCTTCTTCTCCCCCTCCTTCGCTGCTTCTTCTTCCCTTCTTCTTCTTCACTTCTTCTTCTTCTTCTTCTCCCCATCCTTCCCTTCTTCTTCTTCTTCTCCCCCTCCTTCCCTTCTTCTTCTTCTTCTCCCCCTCCTTCCCTTCTTCTTCTTCTTC